CACTTAAAGAAATTTTAATTTTCACAAAGAAATTTCTTTGATTTCATAAAGAAATTTCAAAATTTCTATGTGATAATACCAGAGAAATTTGAGTTTGAGTCAAAATTTCTCTGAATCAAGTGAAATTTTTCTGAGTCGAATTTTTTTTATGAAAATGTTAAAGAATCTTAACTAATAAAAAAAATATCTTAGACCTTTCTTACTATACAAAGTTAAAGAGGGATATTTCCCTATTTTAAAAAAAAAAAAAAAAACTAGAAAATGATTCAGAATTCTCGATGAATAGCCAAAATTCATATATGTTATGGGCTCACAAAAACAAATTTGTACCCATAGATCGACCCTTCCGGTGGGTAGAAAGTTCTGTTTGTACAATCCCGACTCATGTTTAAACCCATGACACCTTGGCTCATGTTTCTTAAAATTAATTGGTGATAGAAAGTGCTTCATTTAAATTTTTTATGGCATAGGATTGGGTGTTACATGGATGGTGGCAGAGCTAGAATTTTGGCTTAAAGAGAACACTATTGAGTTAAAATATTAACAAAAATTACAATTAAATTTAACTTACTTTTTATTTGATGGTAGGAATAAAAGTCACTCTAATACAAATGTTATACTTAAATATAAGCTCGATTTAATCGATCTTAATCAATTTTTGTTTTTAATTTGATTTTATATATGATGATCACATAGTTTGAAAAATAATCATATGCATTATAAAATATGAAAACAAAATTATATTGCACGCACAAAAGAGATGTAAATAGGGGGAAAAAAAAGAAATGAGAGAGAAGGTGAATAAATAATACAAAGGCATTGCTATATATCACTTCTTCTTCTTTTTACAGTTTTGAATCATTGAATTACATAGTAATATATTTGTTAGCACCATAAATCTGCAATTTTTATTATTATTTATTATTTATATAATTGCAGGACACGTGGCATCCTCTTATTCATTTGGAAGTTAAAAGAAGTTATAGAGATAATGGAGAATATGAAGGACAAAGTGGATGAGTGGGAGGACAAAGTGGATGAGTGGAATGACACATGGCAAGACAAGAATGAAGATGGAAGAAATGGGTAGTTACTAAGTAGTTATTGCTGTATTTTTTCTTCTATAAATAGCCATTAATGGCTACATTGTAAAGGGATCCAGAACTTAAATCAAAGACAATTGATTTTAATATTTCTTGTCATTTTCCTTATCTTAGGAGTAGTTTAACATAGATTTATATTTCGAAGCATTTTGAGTAGAGGTAAGTAATTATTACTTTAATTGTTCACTCAATCATCTTTCTCCGTCTCCCTCATTCTTCTTTTAATTTTTCTTTTCGCTACACTTGGCAATTTTGAAGTCCTCTTCGTTGAGGTAAAAGAACCGTCAACATAATCGCTTGATAATTGGCTTGAATTAATCTGTAAGGATTTTTCCAATCCTTGCTGGCACGCTCGCATTTATAAAATTTTCCTTCGTAGGAAAATAAGCCAACAGATTCACATTTTAAAATTTGTCGAGTATATAATCCCTGTAAAATATTAAGTCTATCGGATAATGGCAATTACGTATTTGAATCAGTTTTATATGAATCATTTATTTTTTCACTGTTTATTTATTTTTTATACGAAACTGATTCAAACACGTAATTACCGTTATCCGATCAACTTAATTTTTTACACAAATCATATATTTTCCGAATCTTAAAATGTATATAATTCAAATTATCGAAACGAAATCTAAAAATAAACCCACAAAATAGACTGAAAGATTCAATCTTAATCTCCAACTAAAGACAGACAAGCTGGACCTTTCCTAATTCATTCCTTTCCACATGCAAAAAGCTATAAGGTGTACAGTTTTGGCCACAATTGAGTTCTCACTTTCTTGAGTTTGTTTTGTTTTACTGCAGTGTACCAAATAATGTTTTGCATCTTTTGTGTCCTAAGAAATGGATAAGCACTCATGGTTTGTTTTCATACAAAATGGGAACAACTTTAATGGCCTCTTTTGTAGGCCTAAGCCACCTTGTCAGAACATCTTTAATGATTAATTATAACAGTAGTCAAAGTTAAAATATGGTAATTTCAGTTAATTTGGGTTTTTTGGTGGCATGTTATAGTGACTGTCAAATATGATAACTATCAAAATTTATATTAAATTTGGCACAAGTTTTAACAAATGTCAAATTTATTAGCTTAGCCAAAATCAACTGATTTCATTCATTCCTTCATTCTCTCCCTTCCTTTCTCAAATCAATTTTTTTAAAAAAAATGAAATTCACCAACAGCAACAAAAATAATTAAACAGAATTCACCACTAAACCCTTCAAAAAAAAAATTTAAAAACAAATTTCACCAAAATTTTGTTAAATAGAATCAGACGACAACAACAACAACAACAATGTATGCACATGCCAATTGCATAAGATATTACATAACGTGGTCATCCTATGGACGTCCTAGAGGATGACCTCAATAATTTAGAGTAGTTGTCCTGGAAAATGTCTAGATCTTGGTTGGAAATGTGCCAAAATGAATTTGCACCATTGAAACTCTATTGCTATAATTTGACAATTTATTACTATAGCATGTTAAATTATAATTTTGCCAATGCTATAATAACAATTCCCATTAAAGATGCTCTTAGAATGACCTTTTAATGTTATCTTTTAGCAACAAAGGCACACTCCACCTCCATAACGGGAACGGTCCAACTACGGTCCTGTTCGTGGTGAGTGTAGTCGACCGATTCCAGTACGCAAAGAAGGAGCCAGCAGTAGGACGGAGAATCTTTGAGAGGACTCGTGCAAGAGACAGAAGACCCTCTGTCATTATTCAGTAATCTCTCCTCCTTCGCGCCGTCGTGACGAACGACCATGTGACTTGAAGACATGGTTGAACGACAACCGAGGGGATGATCGAAGGTTGAACAAGGTAGTGGAGTGGGCGACTAGAAAGGGAGAAAGAGCATCTAGATTGGTTTGTTCATCCATCAGATAGAGCGTCGTGCTCTAGACCGACTAGTCTCTTCCCCTCTTTGCCCTGAGATTGAAGCGGTGGAAGCTCCTCATAAGTACAGTGCACCAAAATTCATCCTCTATGATGGGAAGTTAGACCCCCTGACTCACATCAGCCACTACCGCCAAATGATGTCACTGTGGAATCAGAACGATGCGTTCATGTGCCAGGTTTTCACCTCTAGCCTTGATGAGCACGACCTCTGGTGGTATGACAAGCTTCCTCCTTAATCAATCTATGATTGGGCTCAGTTTTGCGAAGCCTTCCTCGCACAGTTTGTTTTTAATAGCCGAATCCTGAAGGGATTTGACACCTTGTTCAATACTTAGAAGGATAAAAATGAGTTTTTGCACAAATACGCTCTGCAGTATTGGGAGGTGTATGGCGATTTAGAAGAAGATGTTTGTAGTGAGCCATTAGCAGCTCTTTACTTCAAACAAGGTCTCACTCCTTCACACAAGCTCAGACAATCGTTGACGAAACGACCTGCCTCTGACTTGAAAGAGTTGAGGGCCTGGATAGAGGAGCGAGCTCATGCGGAAGATGATGCTCCCTCTGTACAAGTGTCAGTTGCAAATGATATAGTTAAGGCTTCCTAGTAACAAAAGGCCTGAACAGCCTAGGAGGGAGGATCAGAGAAGGATGTATGACCAAAATAAGCAACTCACAATAGAAACCAAAGAAAAAAGAAGTAGATCTTACGAAGCCATAACCACTGTGTTCACGGAGCTGATCTACAGGCTCTTGGAAAAAATCAAGGGAGAACCCTACATCGTTTGGCCCCCTAAGATGATGGGGGACCTTGCTCGGCGCAATCAAGAGTGGCGGTGCTCCTACCATCGTGAGAAAGGGCATAAGACGCAAAACTGCAAAGGCCTTAAGAGGCATCTCGAAGACTTGGTCATTGTTGGCCGCCTCCAGCAATGGATCGATGTGGAGAAGACAAGGGCCAAACAGGGGCAACCCTTAGCCCTCCACCAAAGGACCAAGCCCCAAGGCTAGTGATCAACGTCATCTATGGGATGACCGACCCCCAAAGGTAGAATGCTCTTCGTGGTGAGATTCAGAGCCCCACGTACTTGTAACAAGTCATGTCAATATGACCATTGCTCAAGAAGTCCAGAATGGAAGCAAAACCCTCTCAATTCGACATTGTGTTCTCCAAGAAAGATCTGGAAGGGATCCAACATCCTTACACTGATGCACTGATCATCACCATTGGTGTGGCAAACAAATTTGATGTGAAACGAGTCCTAATTGATCAAGGGAGCGCCACTGACATTATGTATTATGACATTTTCAAAAAGCTGGGTCTTGATGAGCAACACTTAATCTTCGTAATCTCTCCTTTGGTCGGCTTCAATGGATAGATAGAGTGGCCACTCGGCCAGATCACCTTGTCCATCACAACAAAGTCCAAAGTGGTCCGTATCGACTTCTTGGTGATCAACACTTCATCTCCTTACAATGCAATCCTCAGTCGACCTTGGATTCATACAATAGAGGCGGTGTCATCCACTTACCATTAGGTAGTCCGTTTCCCAACAAACAATGGAGTAGAGGAGATCATAGGTGACCTAGTAGCGGCGAAACACTGCTTCATCGCCACCATGAAGTCCAAACAAGCATGCAAGGAAGTCCAAATAGTCGAATTTCCTAATCAACCTGTACTTGAAGACGTTGGTAGAGTACCAACAAAAAATATGGTAGAGGACCTCGAAACGATCTTGGTGGACGAAAGAGATCCAAACAAGTTCTTTCTTCTTGGCACATTGCTTCTCGTCGTAGAGAAGGAGCAGTTGCTAGCTTTTCTCTACAAGAATATCGAAGTATTTTCCTGGTCTACTTATGAGACTCCTGGGTTGGACCTAGCCTTTACATGTCACTAACTCAATGTCTAACCAAAAGCTCGGTCTGTAGTCCAAAAGAGCAAATGATCGTCCGCAAAACATACGGAAGTGGTCATCCATGAGGTAAACAAGCTTCTAGCAGCAAGGGTCATACGGGAGGTACATTATCTGAAATGGTTGTCTAACAATGTTGTGGTGAAGAAAAAGAACGACAAATAGAGGGTGTGCGTCGACTTCACTAGCCTCAACAAAGCTTGTCCTAAGGACAATTTTTCTCTCCCATGGATGGACCAACTAGTAGATATAACTGCCAGACATAAATAGATGAGCTCCCTAGATGCCTACAGTGGCTATCATCAAATCCCCATGTTTGGCCTTGATCAGGAGAAGACAACATTCATTAGCCCAAGGGACACCTACTGCTACAAAGTGATGCCCTTCGGCCTAAAGAACGCAGGTGCGACCTATTAACGGATGGTCACTAAAATGTTCAAGGACCAACTTGGCAAGACTATAGAGGCCTATATAGATGACATGGTAGTCAAGAGTAAATTGGAAAAACACCGTCTAAGAAACTTAGAGGAAGTGTTCCAAATCCTGAAGACCCACAAGCTTTGCTTGAATGCCTCGAAATATGCATTCGGAGTAGGTTTAGAGAAGTTCTTGGGATATATGGTGACCAGACAAGGCATCAAAGTCAATCCTGACCAGATCAAAGCCCTCCAAGACATTGAGGCACCTACGAAGGCTAAGAAACTCCAAAAGCTCGCTGGTATGGCTACAACATTGAATCGTTTCATTAGTCTGTTTTCCAATTGAATGAGACCCTTCTTTCAGCTCCTAAAGAAGAAGGCAGACTTCGAATGGGGTGGCTAGTGCTCCGATGCACTCACAGAGTTGAATAAGTATCTTTATTCCCTTCCTCTCTTATCTACTTCAGTCCCCAACAAAGAGCTCTTTCTTTACTTGGCTGTCTCCGATCATGCTGTGAGTGCAGTCTTGATTAGAGAGGAAATGAAGGAACAAAAGCTAGTATACTACATTAGCAAAACCCTCCTAAATGCTGAAACCAAATACCTACCACTAGAGAAACTGGAATAAGCCCTACTGATCGCCTCTAGGATGCTTGCTCACTACTTCTAAGGACACACTATCAATGTCCTCAAAGAGTACCCTTTAAAGTCTGTGTTCAGTTGAGCTGATTTCTTTGGCCGGACAACAAAGTGGGCAGTAGAATTGGGGGAGTTTGACATTAAATTCCAGCCACGGATTGTTATCATCTCAAGTATTAACAGACTTCGTGGTTGAATTCACTCTAGGATCGACCGGTCCCTCTGAAGGGAGCTCGACCTTAGTAACTGGAATCCACAAAACTTATCAAATCCCCATTGAGGCATGGAAACTTTTCATTGGTGACGTTTGGCAGCTGTTTGTTAATGGATCCTCCAACCAAAAGGGTTCTGGAGTAGGGATGGTCCTTGTTTCACTAGAGGGGTTTGTTTGGGAGCATGCTGTCAAACTAAGATGGAAGACTTCCAACAATGAAGCGAAATACGAGGCTCTGCTAGCTGGTCTGCATAGCGCCGAACACTTTAATGCAAAGGAATTACTTGTTTATAGCGACTCCTAACTTGTGGTGAACCAATTGCTTATTTTGGCCATACCTCATTCTCTGATCCTTCCTCCTAGGCTATTTGGCCCTGTGTTTCCAGGAGGCCTTAACTGTATCATTTGCAACTGACACTTGTACAGAGGCAGCGTCATCTTCCACATGAGCTCGCTCCTCTATCCGGGCCCTCAACTCATTCAAGTCAGAGGCAGGTTGTTTCATCAACGATTATCTGAGCTTGTGTGAAGGAGGGAGACCTTGTTTGAAGTATAGAGTTGTTAATGGCTCACTACAAACATCTTTCTCTAAATCGCCATACGCCTCCTAATACCGCCAAGCATATTTATGTAAAGACTCCCTTTTATCCTTCCGAGGATTGAACAAGGTGTCCAATCCCTTTGGGATTCGGTTATTAAAAACAAACCGTGCAAGGAAGGCTTCGTAGAGTTGAGCCCAATCATAGATTGATTGAGGAGGAAGCTTGTCGTACCACCGAAGGTCGTGCTCACCAAGGCTAGAGGTGAAAACCTTGCACATGAACGCATCATTCTGATTCCAGAGTGACATCATTTGGCGGTAGTGGCTGATATGAGTCAGAGGGTCTGACTTCCCATCATAAAGGAAGAATTTTGGTGGACTGTACTTATGAGGAGCTTTCACTACTTCAATCTCAGGGCAAATGGAGGAAAAACTAGTCAATCTAGAGCACGGCGCTTTATCTGATGAACGGACCGATCTATATGCTCTTTCTCCCTTTCTAGTCACCGCACCACTACCTTGTTCAACTTTCGGTCAACCCCTCAGTTATCGTTCAACCATGTCTTCAAGTCACGTGGTCGCTCGTCATGACGGCGCGGAGGAGGAGAGATTACTAAATGATGACTGACGGTTTTCTGTCTCTTGCAAGAACTCTCAGAGATTCTCCGTCCTACTACTGGCCCTTTCACTGCGTATTGGAATTAGGTGTCTACGCTCACCACGAACAGGACCGTAGTTGGATTGTTCCCGTCGTGGAAGTAAAGTGTGCCTCCGTTGCTGCGACGGTCCCCCTCCAAACCTCCTTGGTTCACCCTGAGGCACCATCTGCTTCCTCAGTTGTGCACGTAGCTCCTCAATCTCCAGACTCATCGAGTTAATGATGCGTTCATGGTGGTCTTTCTCAACAAACAGCCCTTGAGATGATTGATATGCGGTGGCATGACGTCGCTCCGTCGTATCGAGGGTCGGGCTGTCATGGTCCATTACGTCGTCGTTCCTAGTAGGGAAGGCCAGACCCTTGTCTTTGGTTCTCTCCATTCTTGGAGTCTTCTCTCTAATCCCAAGTTGTGGGGTTCCTTCAAAACCCATTGCCAGAGTTCGTTACAAAGCAATCAGAGAACGATTTCCATAGGTGGTGCCAAATGTGCGGAGCGATTTTCGTAATAAAGAAATATGGAACTTCGTGGACGAACCCCGGTGCACTAATGGATGAAGGCCTGCAAAAAGGAACAAATGGTTAGGCTGCCTAATCGGGGATTGGTCAAAAACCCCTCAAACGGTCGAGTCAGTGCCGGAATTTGGTAGAGAGAAGGTAGAATAGACGAGTGTGTTTTTAAAGTGTCCAGAGATCGCCCCTTCTCAAGGAGAGTAAGGTTACCTGTTATATGGATTGTATGACTTGCTCATCAAGCTCCCTCATTCGCCACCGGGTACTTAGCCATCCCCATTCGCCGCTTGACACTTAGCCGTGATGCTAGTAAGGTCAGTAGGACATATTATAGAAATTGGCAGCATCCAGGATATTTGTTTTAGACGAAGGCCATGTGCAATGGGCCGAAAAAATGACAGAGCAAGGAGCTAAATAAAGGTTGGGGCCACAAAGATGGCCATACATACAACATACTCAATAATCAAGCCAAACAAGTCAAATGTTGTGGGGCCCACCAAGCACTCCAGATGTTTTCTTTGAACCATGTACAAAGGGCCGAACAAATGGAGAAATAAGAAGCTTGGTGGATTTCGGGGCCCACCTAGCTAGTTCATGCAAATTCAAGTATTTGAATTAGCAAACATTGCAATTCCAAGTCAAAAGGTGGCCGCCATGACAACTTTCATGCCTAATCAAAATCTGTGAGTGGGCAGAGATGTCTATCAATATATA